TTACCTCCAAGGATGTGGACAGGCTGCTTGGACGAGTGAAACCAACCACCTGTCTCCTGGATCCTTGCCCATCCTGGCTTATAAAAGCTAGCCGGGAAGGGCTGGGCGATGGGCTTCGTGGGGTGGTGAATGCTTCCCTCCGTGAGGGAACCTTCCCAGACCCGTTGAAAGAGGCGGTTATTAAACCGCTTCTTAAAAAACCATCTTTAGATGCGGCCACGATGGCCAACTATCGCCCAGTCTCAAATCTTCCATTCTTGGGCAAGGTGATTGAGCGAGTGGTTGCTGAACAACTCCAGGCACGCCTGGAAGAAGCGGACCATTTGGATCCCTTCCAATCGGGATTCAGGCCTCATCACGGGACTGAAACTGCCTTGGTCGCACTGGTTGATGATCTCCGGCGGGCTAGGGACAAAGGTGAGAGCTGTTTCCTAGTTCTGCTGGATCTCTCAGCGGCATTTGATACCATCGACCATAACATCCTTCTGGACCGTCTTGAGGGGCTGGGAGCTGGGGGTACTGTCATACAGTGGTTCTGCTCCTTCCTCCTGGGCCGTGTTCAGAAAGTGGTGGTGGGGGATGAGTGTTCAGACCCCTGGGCTCTCACTTGTGGGGTGCCTCAGGGTTCTGTCCTCTCCCCTATGCTTTTCAACATCTACATGCAGCCGCTGGGAGAGATCATCAGGGGGTTTGGGCTGGGTGTTCATCAGTATGCAGATGATACCCAGCTCTACCTTTCTTTCAAATCAGAACCAGTGAAGGCGGTGACGGTCCTGTGTGAGTGTCTGGAGGCGGTTGGAGGATGGATGGCGGCAAACAGATTGAGATTGAATCCTGACAAGACAGAAGTACTGTTTCTGGGGGACAGGAGGCGGGCAGGTGTGGAGGATTCCCTGGTCCTGAATGGGGTAACCGTGCCCCTGAAGGACCAGGTGCGCAGCCTGGGAGTCATTTTGGACTCACAGCTGTCCATGGAGGCACAGGTTAAATCCGTGTCCAGGGCAGCTGTGTACCAGCTCCATCTGGTACGTAGGCTGAGACCCTATCTGCCCGCGGACTGCCTCGCCAGAGTGGTGCATGCTCTGGTTATCTCCCGCTTGGACTACTGCAATGCGCTCTACGTGGGGCTACCTTTGAAGGTGACCCGGAAACTACAACTAATCCAGAATGCAGCAGCCAGACTGGTGACTGGGAACGGCCGCCGAGACCATATAACACCGGTCTTGAAAGACCTACATTGGCTCCCAGTACGTTTCCGAGCACAATTCAAAGTGTTGGTGCTGACCTTTAAAGCCCTAAACGGCCTCGGTCCAGTATACGTGAAGGAGCGTCTCCACCTCCATCGTTCTACCCGGACACTGAGGTCCAGCACCGAGGGCCTTCTGGCGGTTCCCTCACTGCGAGAAGCCAAGTTACAGGGAACCAGGCAGAGGGCCTTCTCGGTAGTGGCGCCCTCCCTGTGGAACTCCCTCCCACCAGATGTCAAAGAGAACAACAACTACCAGACTTTTAGAAGACATCTGAAGGCAGCCCTGTTTAGGGAAGCTTTTAATGTTTGATGTATCACAGTATTTTAATATTCTTTTGGAAGCCGCCCAGAGTGGCTGGGGAAACCCAGCCAGATGGGCGGGGTATAAATAATAAATTATTATTATTATTATTATTATTATGGAACCTCAAAACCAAAGGTTAAATTCTGTGCTCTGCTTAGTGAAGTGAGGTACAGCAGAAGGATGCCTTCCCACCCGCATTACTGCTGCCAGGCTGGCCTTGTGATTTGCCTTTTTGCTTTGGATTGTTCCCTGGGAAGCAACTGAACAATGCAAGGATTTCCTCTCGCTGACATGGCCTGCCTGCAGGCTCTCGATTTCCTTGTTTTTCTGTTCATTGGGTGGAGGAGGGGAATTGGTTCAATGAGCTCTGCCCATCCCAGAAGGTGAAGAGGTACCCCAAGAAACTTGTTTTGGCAAACGGAGTTTAGATGCAGGTTGGTGCCCCTCAAAAGGCAAAGGCCATGGGCCTTGTTTTTCTAATGTTCATCTAGCCAGCCTGGCCTGACCCATTCCCATAGGCAAAGACTCCAGGGGGTTACATCCCGCTGACTAATTTCAAGGACTAGGAATGGATCCGCAGTCCAGACATACAAGATGTTTTAGCCCATATGAATACCCTGCTGGTTCATTCAGCTGATGGAGGCCTGCAAAGGATCTCTGTGGAGTTTTGCAGCCTGCAGAGGTGGTATCCGGGGGTGGGGGGAGTAGCTGGCACCAACTTTTACAGACCTCTTTCTTGCCTTTTGTGTTGAGCAAAGATGAAGAGTGCCCAGCCTGCCAGGGTGTGATTAGCAATAAGGTCAGAATAGTGGCTTATACCTGCATTAAGCATAGACTCCAAAATAGTGAGGTCCCCCCTCTGGGAAGCAGGGTACCCATGTTGGGAGTGTCTTCCTTGGGCCAGGGTGGGAAGCAGCATGGCAGTCCACCTCTCTTCCCATTTAGTGTAGGGTCATAGGTTGCAGCTACTGCAAGCTGCAAACACATTCTCCTGCTGAAGGATCTCTCCCAGGGAATTTAGGTTGGTATGTCTGGAAATTTGAGTTGTTTGATGTAGGGTTCAGAGCTAGAGTCTAGGCTGCCTGGATTTGTCTCTGTTCTCTTTTGGAAGCTTCAGCCTCTTGTACACTATAATGCCACATCAAGAAGTATGGGTCATCTTGCCATAGAATTTATTGATTGATTTAGAGCACTTGTACCCCACTCTTCAACCTAAAAGTCTCCTGGAGTGGCTTGCATACAATAGCTTGCAAGACAGCCCCTGCCTGCAGGCTTACAATCTGAAATGTATTTCTGCTCTTTCCCCTCCTTTTTTTACTTCTATGCCACCTGCATCTTTTAATCTTAAAGACCTTGATTAAAATAAACTCCATAGATGTACCAATTGGGGCAGTGTGTTGCAGGTAAAACATTTCAACGTAGTGATATGCAACTGTTTCATATGTGGATGGGAAGCTTTTAACAAAAAATTGTATGATGGAGGTGATATTTTCCAGGTGGTGAACAGCTCTGAGCACCTCTTTGAGGACTAATAAGGAGTAAGCAACTTCTGTACTGCCCATGCTTCCTGTGTACAGGGTTATTGGTCTCTAGGCTCAGTTCAGGGTGATCACATTAGTGAGCCCTAAAAAGCTCAGGCCCCAAATATCTGAAAGACTGCCTCCACCCCTTCCAAAGTTGTTGGGTGTTACGATCGACTGAGGGGGCTCCCTTGGCATCCTCATCCTCAGAAGTGTGGAGAGGCCTTTCTCTGTGGCAGCCTCTAAATTGTGGGACTCCCTCCCCACAGAGCTGTGTGCAACATCTTCATTGGACAGCTTTCGCTGTATGTAAAAGACACACCTTTTTCCCCTGGCCTTTGTTTTTTGGGGACTGAACTTTTGTTGGATTTATACTGTTCCGTTCAGGGAGGATTTACTATGTTATTATTATTGCAATGGTCTTAACTGTTTTTATAACCTTATATTATAATACTGTAACCCACCCTGGAACCTGTTGAAGAAGGGCAGGTATAAAATCTTAGAAAGAAAGAAATTACCTAGTCCACTTCTCCTGTACCAAGCCCAGTAAAATCCTAGGCAAGACTCTCAAAAGTCTCATTTGCTACGTGTCCCCATAATTCCCTTCAGCCCCTCACAACTGACTGACCTCAGTTTACCCAAGAAAAGGAATGGGGAACCTGTGGCCTTCAAAATGATGGTGGACTATTTAACTTTCATTATTTCTAACCATTGGCTTATTCTGATAGGGGTTTGAGTGCCAACAACCTCTGGAGGTCCACGTGTTCCCCATCCATCCCTGCTCTAGAAAGAATTGTTAAGGAAAGCAGCACAAGATAGCCAAATCACAAAAGCAACCTTGGAAGGGTTGGGCTTGATTATTTCTTTTTGCTTTTGTTTATACATCCTTGGGAGTAATTGCCATCAAAGAAGTAGTCTTTAATGAAGATCTTGTTAATTTATTCCTCCTCCCTAACTTGACTTTCAACAAGAGCAGAAGGGAAACTAAAGCAAGAAAGAAGATTATTAAGCTGAGGCAATTCTTTGTGAGAATGTGGCTGCTGTACATGCAGGTCTTTGCCCACTGCAAGGGGAAGGTGGCACTGCGCATGCAAGACCATGGAGCTGAAGCATGTTCAGTCCTTCCACACTGAAGAGGGAAAACCCAGCAAGAACCTTCATCCTGTCATAGAAGGAGCAAGTCATGGAGGTTATTTTAGTTGGGAAAGCAGCAGGGACAAGTGTGCTCTGGGTCAGAGTGTATTGTATCTCAGGGAGATACTCCTGAGTTTTCTTAGGAAGAATTGGAGCCTGTAATTTATTTTCTAAAAGAAATTTGCTTGCCAGGGTATATATTGTTGTGGTTAGAGCAGAAAAGTTGGAAAACTTAGCGATAGCAAGTTTCGGGTGCATGCAGTTCCCCAATTCAGTACATTTTCAGTTCCCAATGAATGCTCTGCTAGTGCAGCAGGAACACAACATGAAGAGGAGAAACAGCTATATCTTCTCTGATCTCTATGAAGTCTCACCCCCATTTGCTGGCATTGGTGCCCCCCCCCTTCCAAATTCTTCTCCTTGATTACCATTCTACACCACTTCTCTTATTTTTGTGGTTGGAACTTGCAACTCCTGGATTCTCTTGTGAAGGATGTCCTGTATGAGCAGTGACTAGATTGGATGCAGCTGTGGAAGATTCCCCCATCCTGGCTGTTTTAGCAAAAGAATGGGCCTTTTGTTGGGAGTCTGATATATTTTTATAACCTGCCTTTCTTCCACCAAGGAACTCAAGACAACCTACATGAGGTCCTTAGATGCCCCTCCCTGGGTCCAGTCCCCTCACTGATCAGGCCTAGATATGTTTAGCTTTAGGAAGGTAGCCTCATTGTGTGTCCTATCAGACCATGTCTCACCCTCGGTGAGCTTGCTAACCTCTGTTTCCCCACCTTAGGAGAAGGGCAAAGGTGAAGCCCAGCCTCCTCCACGGCCGCCATGCCGTCTAATGCCCGGGCTGGCAGCTTGAAGGACCCCGAGGTGGCTGAACTGTTCTTCAAGGATGACCCCGAAAAGCTCTTTGTGGACCTGCGGGAGATTGGTCATGGCAGCTTCGGAGCAGTCTACTTTGTGAGTGTTGAAGGAGTGGGGCGGGGCGATATTGCTGGAATTGAACACACCCCTCAAGGCTCACTTAAAGCATGCCCTCCAGCTCCTCCTTACTCATTAGCATCACACCACTTTGCCCTCCCTGTGGAGAAGATTACTAGTTATAACCTCTGCATGTATGCACCAGGTTTGGAAACAGTATGCTCCTGAATTTCAGCTGCTGGGGAACAACTAGAGAGGGCTGTTGCCTCTCCCCACACCCCTTATGGGCTAGTTGACCACTGTGGGAAACAGGATCCGGAATGAACTGACTCTTGGTCAGATTCATCCAGGCTTCCTTGCTCGTTCTTATGAAATGGGTTCCTGTTACTCCCAACATGCCTCTGACCAGTGGACATCTCTGGGTGTGAGAATGCCCTCTTGATCTGCATTACTTATACCCTCTTGATCTGCATTACTTTTTCCAAGCAGAGAAGCCAGCCTCTGCTCAGCCCTCTGAATCGACTGCCTCTGAATCTGGCCATTGCTCCCCTCCCCACCCAAACAGCTTCCTGACACTCTGTTCCTTCCACAGGCCCGAGACATACGTAACAATGAAGTGGTGGCCATCAAGAAAATGTCCTACAGTGGGAAGCAGTCTAACGAGGTTTGTGCTTCACCCCTCTTCTGACAACACTAGTCGCAGCTGGCCTGCCAGCAGACCTTGGTGATTAAGTTCCCTTGGTCTCTAGACCAACTGAGAGTGCCCTGGGTCCATTGGGCTCCGGCCCATTCTCCTTTATCTGGAATTCAGGCTTCTCCATGCTCAGGCTCCCTTTGTGTATCTTCCAGAAATGGCAGGATATTATCAAAGAGGTGAAGTTTCTGCAAAAGCTGCGGCACCCGAACACCATTGAATACAAGGGCTGCTATCTACGGGAACATACAGCATGGGTAAGATGAGAGGGGAAGCTGCTTACATTAACCTTTTGGGCTCCAGGAAGATTTTCTGATCTTTGAACGATGGAGGTTTTGGATGGGTGCAGGAGGGGTCTGAGTGGTGGTTGGGTTTCTTGCTTAGGTTAAAGAGCAAGTATGGATCTTACAAAAGAGAGAGAGAGAGATTTTCACAAAGCAAAATTCATTCATGGAAGTGACGGCCACATGGTGTGGTTGTGGCTGCTGCTTTAAGATGGCTTTAGAAAGAGGGGGGGCAGGGCTAGGCAAATGCATGGAGGATAAGACTATCTGTGGTTGTTAACCATGATAGCTAAATGGAACCTCCATGTGTAGAAGCAGTATACCTCTGAATTGACAGGAGGGCAACAGGATGGGAGGGCAGTTGCCTTCTGACCTGCTTATGGGTTTCCTGAAGGCATCTTGTTGGCTACTGTGGGGAGCAGGATGCTGGACTAAATGGACCTTTGGTCTGATTTAGCAGGGGCTCTTCCTATGTTCTTAAGTGAATCGGAAGTCCCAGGTATGTAATGGTTTGGGGGACTGGTTGGCAGGTGGGGTTCAGAGGAATGTTCTGCCCTGTGCTAACTTCCTTCCCTGCCTTCTCACCCCATCAGCTGGTGATGGAGTACTGCCTGGGCTCTGCCTCGGACTTGCTGGAAGGTGAGTACCCAAGACCACATGAGATGGGTAGATATTCTGTATCCCTTTTTCCTACACTTATATGTGATGCTCTCTCCTCCCTCCCATGTTTCCTAGTGCACAAGAAACCGCTGCAGGAAGTAGAGATTGCAGCCATAACACACGGTGCCCTGCAGGGGCTTGCATACCTGCATTCGCACAACATGATCCACAGGTGAGATGAGCAGTCCTGCCCTGTGTGCCCACGTCTTCCTATGCTGTTTTTAGGCATAGTCCACAGGAGCCTGGATGGCAGAATGGCCATGTCCCTATCTTACCATGAGGGTGCAGTCCTTATGGACCCTTCTGATTTTAAATTGAATTATTTGCTACTTTTAACTGCCACATCAAGGCATATTTGCATTTGATTCATGCAAGCGATTCCTGTGGGGTTTTCAGCACAGAGACAAAAAATAAACTTTATGTATGAGCTGAATGCAAACTTCAGAGAAACTGCTTGAAACCTCCTGCATTGTAAGGGCACAGTATGGCCTTGAAGCTGCTGCACCATAAAATCTGTATACTTCCTCCCACTTTACATCTAGAGAAATCATGGCAAATGGCAGCTTTTGGTTTAAAACTGCAAGGTCAGACAGTCTGGCTGTGTTCATATATAATGGTAAGCCATGCTTTGTTTTAACTAAGATTTATTCAACAAACCATGGGTTATCTTTCAGGCAAGCAAATAAGCCAAGAGTTTCTTTCTCTGAAACTTCCTTTGTTTTCCAGCTGTTCTTACCTCCTGCCTCCATAGTTTGACCACTCCACCCTCAATGCTCACTAGACAACCCATGGTTGAGCAAGGAGATAACACCAAACCATAATTAGCCATGGTTTCACATCATGGTTTGTTGCCAGAAAACAAGTCATCGTTAGTATGCTGCTGTGGGTTTGGACACCACACTTCGGCTAAACAATCAAAGGCTTAGTGTTGTTTGCAAGCCAGGTCTCTGTGGCTCGAGTTTCTCTATATCCTAACTTGTATATTTAGTTGCTCGTGCCCTTTGTGTGATCCACAGACAGGATGACAACGCCCCCACAGTATAATTTGCAAGCCGTTGTTTATTGGGTTCTAGCACATGTCAGGGTCCACATGAATACATTGGCATGTGTTGAGAGAGTGGGACCATGCATACCATCAGGCCCCTCTGCCACATCTCCAATGCCTCATCCTTGCACGCATTTATTTATTGCATTTACAGCCCACTTTTCCTCCAAGGCATTCAAGGTGGCGTAGATGGTTCTCCCTCTCCCCATGTTATCCTCATAAGAACCCTCTGAAGGTAGGTTAGGCTGAGAGACAGTGGCTGGTCCAAAGTCACCTAGCGAGTGGTATACCTGAATGAGGATTTTACACCTGTTCTCCCTGGTCCTGGTCCAATACTCTAACCACAAAACCCCTCTGGCTCTGCTTTAGGACTGAAGCAGAAAGCCTTCTGTTTACACATAGGCCCCCCTCTGTGACTTAGAACTATGTGTGACCTGGTTATACTTGTGTAAGAGGTTGGCCACTTGAATAAGGCTAAGCAGTTCACCCTAACCATCTCCATCTAGCCCCCCCCCCCCGGCATGCAGTTTTCAGTGCACACATCTCCTGCCACGATTCCATCCTCCTGCTTTCCCTCCCGCTTCTCACACTTGGTTTCCCTCTCTGCCCACCTTCCAGTCCATGGTTGTCTCTGCTCCCACGTGCAGTTCTTAACCACTAAGCGTTGCCTTTTCCAGAGATGTGAAAGCTGGGAATATCCTGCTGACTGAGCCAGGACAAGTGAAACTGGGGGACTTTGGCTCGGCCTCCATCATTGCTCCCGCTAACTCCTTTGTTGGCACCCCATACTGGTAAGAGAGCAAGAACTGGATGTTTGTGTGACCCGGGAGACAAGCGGGAAGATCTGTGGCAAGAAGCAATTGTAGGCCTCGCCCTTCATTAGGAGAATAGTGATTGCGTGAAAATATGGCAGGGCAAATTGGGAGTGAGGTTCGATGTGCGCAAACTTGGTTCCTTGAAAAGCAAAGAGAATTTATTGGATTTGATAGGGCCTGCATTTTCTGGAGGGAAGAGTTAGAGATGTTGAAAAGTAGAAAACAAAGTGGTACTGCATGGAAGCAGAGGGTTGCCGTTTTCTGCAGATAAAATGCCGTGTATCAGGGTGGCTCTGTAGATTTTGTTGCTCTCCAGCTCCCATCATCCCTGACCGTTGACCTGGCTGGCTGGTACCAATGAGAGTTGTAGCCCCATGACATTTGGGGACACTACATTCACTACCACCCCAGCTATAGATTCTTAACAAGCTGTGAATCATGATCTCAGGCCACTGTGCACTGTGCTCTTTCCAGGATGGCTCCCGAGGTGATCCTAGCCATGGACGAGGGGCAGTACGACGGCAAGGTGGATGTCTGGTCACTTGGCATCACGTGCATCGAACTTGGTATGGGATGCGCTCTTAGGAATAGAGAAGGTGGTGTGCTCCAAGGACCTCCTTGCCCTAGCAAGCTTGGAGCTGCCAGAGTTCTTAAGGTGGGGGAGGCAGGAGGGGAAATGTCTTGGGGGAAAGCGAAATGTCGATGTTAACATCAGTGTCCTTGTATCCCCAGCGGAGCGCAAACCACCCCTCTTTAACATGAATGCTATGAGTGCCTTATACCACATCGCCCAGAATGATTCTCCGCTGCTCCAGTCCAGTCACTGGTAAGAAAGGCCCCCAATTCATGTGTTTATGAAAACGAAGGGCGTTCTAGGACCTTGGAAATAGGGATTGATGGGTTTAGAGCTGGGACCGATGACAGAAGCTGAGGTTGGAGTTGGAAAGAAGGCAGGCCTCCTGGAATGCTCATTCTTTACCTCTTCCAGGTCTGAATATTTCCGGAACTTTGTGGATTCGTGCCTGCAGAAGATCCCCCAGGACCGCCCAACCTCTGATGTGCTGCTCAAGGTACTGCTCAGCTCAGCTGCACCCCTGAATAGGGGCCTTCTGTCTCCTCTAGCCATAGTCCACTTATGTCTCTGAAACTTTGGTCACAACACAGCCCTGTCTGTGGGACAGTGAAAGTGAGGCTGAGGGCAGAAGAAGAAAGCTGTTTTTCTATTAGAAATTTCATTGAGAGGAAAACAGATGCTGAGGTCTGCCAAGACGTGAAATTAGCTAGGTAACATGGGGTGGGGGGTGTAGAGTTGTCACATGGGATCAACCTTCCTAAGTAACTCCCTTCAACATTGTTCCCCAGGAAACAACTATACAAATCTTCCGTTTTGTTTTTCATTGTTAAAAAGATGCTCCACCTGTGAAAAATAATGTTTGATTCACCTCCCAGACAAGCTGAGAGTGCACTGTGTAGATTAGTTTGAGTCGTTAGTGGAACAGAATTTATCCAGTTAAAGTGGATTTGTGAAAAACTTGCTCTGGAGAACCATTTTCAACCAACCTCGTGGTCATTCTTCCCCAGCATCGCTTCCTCTTGAGGGAACGTCCCCAGACAGTTATCATGGACCTGATCCAGCGAACCAAGGACGCTGTGCGGGAGCTGGACAACCTGCAGTACCGCAAGATGAAGAAAATCCTTTTCCAGGAGGCACAGAATGGCCCAAATGCAGAGGCACCAGAAGAGGAGGAGGTTAGTGGTTCTACCTGGTTACCCAAGGCAGCTTCTTCCCCGCTCCAGCTTCCTCCCCAACCTCTTACCCTCTCTACTTTGCTCTAGGAGGTGGAGCAGTTTCTCCACCGTACAGGCACCATCAACAGCATGGAGAGTAGCCATTCGGTGCCCAGCATGTCCATCAGCGCTAGCAGCCAGAGCAGCAGCGTCAACAGCCTGGCGGATGCCTCCGATGACGACGATGGGGCTGAGATTGCCATGATGCAGGAAGGCGAGCACACAGTCACCTCCAACAGCTCCGTCATCCATCGCCTTCCGGTACAGGATACATGTGCTTTGGGAGTGGGAGGGTCTGAATGATAACAGGAGGGAGCAGGATTGAGTGGGCTTGGGAAACAAAGTCAATTGTGCCTTTCCATGATCAGAGCCCAAAGAAGCACGGAAGCAGGCACACTGAGTTGCTGCCGTAGTGAAGGGCAAAATTTAGGGAGCAGCTCCGGTTGGGTGGGAAGCGTCAGTTGCCCTGGCCTTCCTCAAGCTCTCCCATGCTGGTGGGTGGCGGCAGGAGGTGGTAAAGATGCGGGAATCGCAGGTTGGTCCTGCCCGGGTGGGTGAATTGTGGGAGTGGCCCACCTCTGAACGTGGGTTGGATTCGCACAATATGATAGGAATGGTGGTGGGGAGCAAGGCAGTAGAGACCAAAGGGTTTGGGTCTGCGGCTAAAGCATCCTTAGCTCTGAACGCCTATTTGGCCCATTGCTTCACAGCTAACCTCATCTTAAGCATAGATTTATCCCACCTTACCCACTCTGCCCAGAAACCAATGGTTGTAAAGGACATACCTGACAACCTGGGATTTGGGGGAATTTTTCCTGTACGAATTAAGCTAATTTGCATAGGCTCATATTCCATTGGGCAGTGTTCAGTTTGCATCATTAGAAAATGTTCTGATGCCCTCCACATGTCGTTGGACCAACTCCCATGATCCCTGACCATTAGACATGCTGGCTGAGGCTGATGGGAGTTGTAGTCCAAGAACATCTGGAGGGCACCTTGTTGTCTACCCCTGCCCTAGAGATTGATCTATTTCCACATGCTTATTTTATTTGTATTTACTGTGCACAATGCTTTGAAATTGCCAATCTTGCTTGCCTAATAGTTGTATTTGCAATTGGCATCCATTCATTGTTAGTAGTAAACCTGTAGAACAGAAAAATTTCCATGGAAGAATAAAACATTAATTTCTGCCTCACCAAGGCAAATTTAAGCCCAATGGAGCCACTTCCCTCCTCACTGGGTGGGGTAAATAAATTGTGTCCCACCCATCCTCACCCAGCTGTGGGGCTTTCTGTTGACCCAGGTCATCCAGCATAAAGAGAGGTGGGCAGAGAAGGTGTTAGAACCGTGTAGGTTTTGCATTTCTCACAGGCCTGTTTTGGTGCTTCTCAGGGCCACGACAACCTGTACGATGACCCATACCAGCCTGAGATGGAGCCCCAGAGCTCATCATCAGCTGCCCGGCGCCGTGCCTACTGCCGCAACCGAGACCACTTTGCGACCATCCGTACAGCTTCTCTGGTGAGTGGAAGGTGAAGTCATGTTTGGACAAAGCATGATTCCCCCCCCCCTCCACCAAACCAAGTTCAGTCTCTTCATTGTTCATGGCCCAGCACCTTGTTTTTGTGCGGAGGCTGCAGAAACTGCAGGGTTTACACAACTTCTTCCCAAGTAGTAGTTTCTGCTTCCTCCTGAATCCTCATTTCTTAAGATGGGATGGTATTCTTGCTAGCTGTATAAAAAATGAGAATTCATGTCCCTCAGAAGTATTAAGGGCACAGGATGCAGCCCCCACAACCTGGCACCTTTCACATGTTTCATGCTACAACTCCTAGCAGCCCCCAAGGGTGGAGGGAAACTGGCCCCAAAGTGACCCATTTAGAAAAGGAATGGACAGATTCCGAGGGGAAAGATTTGTCATGGACTATTAACATCTATTGTTGTTCTTAGGTACAGCTTCCTATTGTAGGAAAGGAGCAGAGGGAGAATCATGGAGACCTAGAAGTCCCATGTTCCCCAACACACTTTGTAACCAAGGGAGGCTAGGAATGATCTGTTGGGGAGAAATAAAGGAAGCTCTGTTTCTGTGTTGGGCTGCCGAAACTGAAGCAATGGATTGATTCCTTAATTGATTAATAAATCTAATATATGAATAAAAAAAGTAGCTCCAGAGAGCCACACCATTTTTGATGATGCATGCACACTGTGCAACAGGCACTGTGTTAGAATGGGGAAGTCCCAGAGAGGGAGTGGGGTGCAACTGTGTGCAAACCTTGGAGTCTCATGGAAGAAAGAGGGGTGTCAATGTAATAAAGTAAAAATAGGGTGGTGCCTGCTACCAGCAACTTTATCAGTACCTATAATAATTTAAAAGTGCTTGATTAAAAATGGATTAATTGACAAGATGGTGGGAGGTCTAGTTCTCAGATTACAGGCTCTTGTAGGCAGGGTGTTGAGGATGGCCCAGGAAAGGGTGGTGCTGAGCTTCCCCCTTAACAGGATGCAACTCTGATTCAGGAGTAAGCACACAAGCAGTGGGGCCTGCGAGAGTCCGGGCTGCCTAACTTTGACCTCCTGCCGCCCTTCCCCAGGTGACTCGCCAGATCCAGGAGCACGAGCAAGACTCGGCGCTGCGGGACCAGATGAGCGGCTACAAGCGGATGCGGCGCCAGCACCAGAAGCAGCTGCTGGCTCTGGAGAACAAGCTCCGGGCGGAGCTGGACGAGCACCAGCTGCGGCTCGACAAGGAGCTGGAGGCCCATCGCAGCAACTTCTCTGCTGAGGCTGAGAAACTGGCCAAGAAGCACCAAGCTATATTTGAGAAGGAGGTGAGCGCTAGTGTGGGGTCGCCTTGCCAGAGCCAGGGAGATTCTGTTGGAGACAGGTGCGATGGCTCCAAGCGGCAGGAGGAAGGCAGAGAGCTTGTGGCCTCCCTAGTGGAGGAGCTCCCGTAGGAAAGTGGAGTTCCTCAGGCTGTTGAATAACCACATGCTCAGCACCGGCTCCTGGTTTTGGGGAGCCATTACCCAGGACAGGTGGGGTGTTCTTGCAGCAGCGAGCCTTGCTCCTTGCCGCCATCATCACCAACTGCTGCTGTTGCTCCCCCTCTTCATCTTTGCTGCCACTCGCTTGACTGCCAGGCAGTGCGCCAGGGAGAGCAAGTAGGCAGTGTCATTTGTGGATCCTCCTTTGCCTACAGCTGCCCCGTTGCCTGGGCCAGGCTGAGAGGCAGTAGGGAAGAGCAGGCGCAGGGGGTTCTTGTCAGCGGACCCCCTGGAACGGTGCCTAGACCCTCCGCAAATGCCTGGCCTCTTGGCGCTGGCCCTACGTGTGCTGGAGGGGTGTGTTAAAAACCAGCCACAATAAAAAGAGTGAAGCTCCTCCTTTTTGGTTCCCCTTCCATTCTGACCAGATTACTTGGGGTGGTCCAGGCTTGTTGCTGAGAGGCTCTCTTCTTTGGCTTCTGTTATAGCTGTGTCTTTTCCCTTCTGGCCACATTAGCTGTGACCTGGTAGCTCAGTGCTTTGGGATCGTTTCAGTGAGCTGCTGCTGCGGGGATCATTTTTCCTCTTAAAAGCATATGGGGCATATGCTTATGGGGAAGGGCCATAGCTCAGTGGTGGAGCTTGCCTTGCCTGCAGAAGGTCCCAGGTTCAATCCTTGGTCGAGACCCCTGCCTGAAACCCCAGAGAGCCACTGCTGGCCAGTGTAGACAATACTGAGCTAGATGGACCAATGGTCTTGACTCAGTCCAAGGCAGCTTCTTATGCTCCTGTGTTGGTATCAGAGGACATTCAGCTTCGACAATAGCCAGGCCTGAATGCTAAGCCCTGCTTCCCTCCCTCCACCCAAACACATTAAAAATGGTGAGTTGAAAACCATGCTAACGGTGCAAATTTGCCTATTTCTGCTAGACATAGGCAGGCTCTTTGAGACTCCAACTAAGTTTCCCACTCTGGCTTTGGACGTTCTACCAGTTTGCCCACACCCCCATAATGGCAATTACCTTTTCTTTCTCCCACACTTAAAATACTTTCCTGTGCTACTACACACACAGCCATGAGCGTGGCCAAACTGTCTTCATCCTTCCTTTGTGGGTGAATTTCCCTTCTTTCTCTCTCACCCATCCATCCCCTGTACAGGCAAAGGCAGCCCTGGCTGAGGAGAAGAAGTTTCAGCAACATATCTTGGGCCAGCAGAAAAAGGAGTTGGGCAACTTGCTGGAGTCGCAGAAGCGGCAGTATAAGCTACGCAAGGAGCAACTTAAAGAGGTACCTGCTTTTAAGAGGAGCAAAGCAGGCGGGGGGGGAGGGGTCACACCAGCTTGGCAGCCTCCTTTTGGAAAGTTCCTGGTCTCTCATCCCAGCCTCCATGCCCCCCCCCATGCTGTCTTCCAATTCCATCTGTAACTGGGAATCCTGTCATGGGTGGGTGAGGGATGTGCAGCCTCTGAATCTGGCACTGCTAATTTCTGGTTCAGTCTGTGGTACTACCACCTGATAATTCAGTGACCTGAAAGTAGAGTCCTTGAAGGAGCTTATTCAGGAGTCAATCGTACAATCTTTAGGGGAGATGCATATAAAATATAAATTTTAAAATGTCAGGGGCATCACATGCCCCGCCCTGCGTCAGGGAATACTCAAGAGTTGCCTCAATGCTGAAAATTCTCATAGTTCCCTGCAAGCCATGGCCGACTTCCTGCTTATGAAGAGTGAGCTAGTGCCCTAGAGCTGTTTCCTTGAGACTGAATGAGTGGCTCTTCTCTCTCTTTGGTGGGCAGAAGCCCACCATGGGAAATGTTTGGCAAAGGCTGGACTTCCGGCAGTGCCTGCACTCCTCATTCAGTGAGGAATGAATGAAGGAGCAATTAGAGAAAGTTTAGCAATGAGTGTATTCTGTGGAAGTTCCTTTGGGACTCTGTAGCTGGTCTGCACCCTCACTCTCCATCCATATATTCACCAGCTGCACCCAGATGTTCTTTACCCAGTTTTATGCCTGGGTGTAGGGCAGTGGTGGGGAACTTCTGGCCTGTGGGCTACATCAAGCCTGGCTGGAGGCCTTAGCTGGCCCATAATGCCATTCTTCCTAAACCACAGCCACCTGGCCCACATTTGATGTCAGGTATTGAGCAGGTAAAGATGTGGCTGCAAAGGTACAACCAAGAGCCCTAAAATGCTCTTCTGGTTGTTCCTTGGCTCACATCCAGTAATTCCAAATCTGGCCCATCCTTGCCAGAAGTGAGCATTGCAATTGGCACCAACCAACACTGATTTGAACATCCATCAGTTGTGCTCTGGAGTTCCCAGTCAGGAGCCACCAAGCGCAGCTGCTCCAAACAGAGGGTTGTAACCAGGACCAATCAGTTGACCAGCACTGACTGAAACCCCTGCTGGGATTGGCTGCAGGGGTCTTCCTTTGCAGCCCAGCTTGAGGAACCTAGATCTTCTGCACTGATGGCTTGAATCCCAGGCTGGGCTGCCAAGGAGTTCAGGAAAGAAAGAGCACACTTAGAATGCACCCCACTTTCTTTGCAGCTAGGTCACCATGGTGACATCAGATGATTGACAGGTGGGTGGACCCGTCAAGGTGGCCCACGGTGGGAGAGCTCAAACTCCTTTCCGCCAGCCAGATCCTCTTCTCCGCCCATGCTGTGTAGGAGGAGATACTATCATGCTTCATCGTGCCCCATTTCTCATGACTTTTTGTTTTCCTCTCTCAGGAACTGCAGGAGAATCAGAGCACACCCAAGCGGGAGAAGCAAGAGTGGCTGCTGAGGCAGAAGGAGAACATGCAGCACTACCAAGCAGAGGAAGAGGCCAACCTTCTGCGCCGCCAGCGGCAGTACTTTGAGCTGCAGTGCCGCCAGTACAAGCGCAAGATGCTGCTGGCCCGCCACAACTTGGACCAGGACCTGTTGCGAGAGGTGAGAGTCTGGCGTTGGCCGTGGGGAAGGGATGGTTTCACGGGAGGGCCAGGGATTCATGAGGGGTTGTTTTGGTGAGGAGGTGTCACCACTACTGTCCCAGAAGGACAGACATTGACAGGGGGTGTCTGGGTATCTGCCCCAGGGAGCCAGCAAGTACGATGCAGCATGATGGGGAGCAGCACAAGAACAGGAGCTAATAATATTTGTACCCCGCCCATCTGACTGGGTTGCCCCAGCCACTCTGGGCAGCTGCCAACACAATAAAACAGGGCTGCCTTCAGGTGTCTTCTAAAAGTTGTGTAGTTCTTTATCTTCTTGACATCTGATGGTAGGGTGTTTCACAGGCAGGGTGCCACTGCCGAGAAGGCCTTCTGTCTGTTTCCCGGTAACATCTCCTCTTGCAACAAGGGAATTGCCAGAAGGCCCTCGGAACTAGATCTCAGCGTCTGGGCTGAACGGTGGGGGCAGAGACTCTCCTTTGGGTATACAGGGCCGAGCCCGTTTAGTGCTAATGCAGATGTGGCCACTGGCCACCTCTGCTAAAATATGGTGTCAGCAAGTTGATCTCTTCTCCGAAACAATGAATTCTGCACTGAAGCAATACAAATTCTATGTGTGCACATGCATACATGCAAAATTCTGCAAAACCATCACAAATCTCATTATATAAACTGTTATAAACTATTTCCTTGATTTGCTGAACATCTCCTTTTTATACTAATCATAGAGCCTAACCACCAACACCTGCATTCCAGCATCATCTGGAAGCTTTGCTAGAAAATAGTGTTCTTTAAAATAGAAGAGAGCTGGGTGTTGCTCAAGATGCTGGCTTTTGCCTCCAGTCCCAAATTCTGTATTTTCATAGGCTTGGAGGGAGAGTGCCTGCAGCTCTTGACATTAGAGCAAGGGGGAATGAGACAATTGTTATTCTCGGGCCCTTGGGAGAAGAATGCGGCCATTGGAAACCTGGATGTAAGAAAGAATGCTGACCCTTTTAAGAGCCTTGATGCCAGGAAGAAGCGAGTCTCCATTGGAGGTGCAGTTCTAACGCCTTTCCCTTGCTTCCTCCCTCAGGAGCTGAACAAAAAGCAGACCCAGAAGGACCTGGAGTGCGCCATGCTTCTGCGCCAGCACGAATCCACGCAGGAACTGGAGTTCCGGCACCTGCACACCGTCCAGCGCACCCGCACGGAGCTCACCCGCCTGCAGCACCAAACAGAGCTCTCCAACCAGCTGGAGTACAACAAGCGCCGGGAGCAGGAGCTGCGCCAGAAACACGCCATGGAGGTCCGGCAGCAGCCTAAGAGCCTCAAAGTAGGTGCTACCTACACCCCGCCTTGCTGCCAGTGGTGCCCTGACGGGCAGGATGCAAGGGGTCTGGAGCCAGGGCAGGGGCACCCAGGGGTTGTGGAAATGGACACAAATGAGGACGGAAGTCTAGAGCCCTTGCAGGACCACTTGTGTGGGCCTAGTCCCTGTGACTGTGCAGCCAGGGTTCAGAAATGCCCGGCAGATGCAGAATCTAACTGCCCACACTTTGGGCCACTAGACTCAAGAGGATGTGAATCGGCTGTTTCGGAGTCTGGTAGCCCTTGTCATGATGATCTAGGCCGATGCAAACCTATTGGAGAGGTTCTGGAGCCAACTCAGGGTGTTGTTGTAGACACAGGAATAAAATGTCCCAACCTTTTAGGGAAGTGTAGCCATGAAATGGGGGTTCTGGAACCAGAGCTAGACTGCCATGGGCATGTGGTTTTAGAGTATGGCCTGGAGGAGGAGGAGGATCTAGAACTGGATGCAGTGCGTATTGGGGGTCTTGTACAGGACTGGTCGCCAAAGGGGGTTGGAGATCTGGATGAGCAGGGTTTGGAGGCCTTGGTGCCTGAATCAAAGCGTCCTGGGGACGCAAAGCCTGATTGGCAATGCCTGGCAAGCGAAATTCCAGATGGGCAGGAAGCTGCTGCTTTAGAGCAGAGACAGGAGTGTCTTTGGCTCAATGGGAAGGACGAGGGAGTCCTAGATCTAGACAGAAAAGAAGGTTGGATTCCAGATTTCGGTGAAACAAGCTTGAAACAGCAAGGACACTGTGGAGAGGGAGTTGCTGATCTAGAAGTAAGCCAGAGGTATTTTGGAGTGCGGGATCACTTTGGAGAGGGCTCTGGGGTTCTGTTGTCCGTTCGGGGGCGGCCAGGCGTTCCAGAGCCTGATGGGCAAGAGGCTGATAAGCTGGATCCATTCACATGTGAAGGCAATTTATACTTGCATGCCTTACCCACTGTCCTCGAAGAGGGGGCCCTGCGAGGCCCGGGAGATGGCTGCCCAGCCCCTGAAGACCCCTACAGCCAGCAGGCCAGCAGCAAAGCCCGCCCCGTCCCACCTCCCGTGGCAGCCATGCTGCCCCATGCTCTCTGCGTGGTCTTGGCACTGTTAGTCTCTGCCTACCCATGTGCGCCAACTCTCTTGCTGCTCCTCGCTGCACTGTGGGCGCAGGGTGGTGGGTTTCAGGATATCCTCCTGGCCCTCGAAGGGGCTCTAGTGGGCCTGGGGGTTACGTACACCTTGTTGCACTCTGTCTTCCTCCTTTCCGGAGCGTCCTTTCTCCTCCTGGCCAAGATGGCGGGGGCAGTGGGTGTGGTGGGGCTGAGTGCCAGTAGGGAGCGCCTGTACGTTCCTGTCATCCTCCTGGCTTCCTACCTGTTAGCTTCTCCCTGGCTGTTCCTGCCCCTTTACCTCTTGGGGGCACTCGCACGGCACAGCCTGAGGGGATTCCCCCGCCGCGCCCGCCGCTTCTGGCTCCTGGCCCTGCTCCGTCTCCCACGCCCGGCTTTCCGCATCCTCCAGCGCCTGGGGCTGGTCACCGAGCAGGGGCTGTTCCGCCTCTTCCCCAAAACCAACAAAGGCGGCTTCCGCAGCCGCATCCCGGTGCTGTCCCGCCAGCGCCAGCCGTCCCTGCCCTGGCACCGCAAGGCCGCGGCCCTTCTTGCCAAGCCGATTTGCAGCATCAACAAGATCCTCACGGAGGTGATTTGTGCTCAGCTGCCGCCTTCGGCCCTGCATTGCCTCAAGGGGCTGCATGTCTTGCGAGAGGAAAGGCCTTCCCGCATCCCCCGCCTGACAGCCAGGCCCCGGGGGCATTCTGTAGGGTCAGCGAGGCGCATTAGTAGGAGGAGAAGTGTGCAAGGAAGCCAGCCTGCCAGGAGACCCTGGAGATAAGGAGCCCTTGGAGGGCTCCACATCCTGTTCTAAAACGGTGAAACAGTCCATTCCAGTGGGATTCCGGCATCCTGGTCCTCTGGTCTCATACACACAATTCTGGGAGGTTGGCTAGTCTCTGGACTTACGGGAGATCAGGCAGAGCAAGTGACAGTATTTACTCTGAAAACCTACTACTTTCCATCCAGTGTTGTGGTATTGGTATATAGAACCCAACAGCAAGGGGAGAGAATTTAATGTCTTAAGGCCAGGGATCCCTCTGAGCCTTTGATAAAAGGAGTTTTGAAGTTGCGGGAGGACCAGAAGTTTGTTCTAGCTCCTTATTGGTTTACACAATGGGGGTGGGGCGGAGCGTTGTTGAGTGTTCATTACCCTAACGAGGAAAGAATCACCTGATGACGCCCTTTTGAGCTGGCTGTGTTTGGGTGGGTTGGGTATTTTTTGGCGCCCGTTCCAGCCGGCTGGGAGAAGATGTGGAGATGTGGGTTAAGCTGAAGAGATTTCCAAGCCCCTTAAGAACTGAGGTGTGAGGTGCATGTGTGCTAGTGTCTGAGGTCGAAAGGTCCTGTTCAATGTTCCCCAATGAAAACAGGAGTTTGCTAAGGGGGCAGGGGCTGCAGTTTGCAGAATACTCCACTCTTGCAACCATTTTCCAGTAACCTCTTTTTTAAAAGTCCAGGCACTCTTGTTTCCATCTTTAACCTACTTTGAGCAATGAGGGGATAAGTACGGTCCTCCATTTCCTTCAAACATAGAACCCCCAAAGAAGGTAGTGGGTGCTGGGGCTGAATATACAGTCATCAAAATAAATAGGCTTCTGTTCATTATCAGCTCCTTAAATGGTCAGGATCCATATCGCCTTAAATTTTATCATCCTCCCTCCCTCTTCCCCGCTGAACCTTGTTTCAATTGATCTGGAAACTTACAAACCTAAAGGGGTGTACATGTTTCAAGAAATCAGACTCCTACCAGCTCCTAAGGGCTTAACTAATTGTAGGTGATTCTTTCGCCGTTAATATATATATTTCCACCGTTTTACAAATATATATATATATATTTATCATTTTCCACCCTAATTGTAACAACCTCCCTTCACTTCATTTTTTTTTTACTTGAATGTACATATTTCAAGCTGACTTTTAATTTTATGTTTGTGTATGTTTGTGATTTTTATTTTATTTTTTGCTAAGTTTGATATAAAACCAGTTTTTGTGGGGAGGGACAAAGAGCTAATGTGAGATTTTTTTTATAAAAAAATGACTGAAAACGGGAGAATTTTTTTTAAAAAATCCAACTTATTGCTACAGGTTTTTCATTTGAAAGCACAATGGGCCAATCAAGCAGTTCTCTCTCTCTCTCTCTCTCTCTCTCTCTCTCTCTCTCTCTCTCTCTTTTGCCCTTATAAAAGAAATCTTCAAATACCACAAGCCAGGACTTTGAAGTAATGGTTAGGGTTTTAACCAGTTTGCTTTAGTGAACCTATGTAAGAAAGGAAAAGTTAAGTTTGCTATTGAGCACCTCCCCAAATGCTGAGATGGTTGGTAGTTTTTCAGGTGGTGACCCAACCTTTTTGTTGGCTCCCTGCAGCTTGTTGAAGCACAGGGACCATTCCAGGGATAGCAGTGCCTCAAGCTCTCCCCTTTCCCAGGGAGCCAACTATTCCACCTTTCCTACTCCAGGACCTGAATGCCCTCATTACTCTGGGATCTCTGTCCTCAGTCACCCCCAGCTTGAGCTGTGGCAATGGCATCAGAGCCCCTGGCCCTTTCACACCTGGATGAGATGCTTGCCTTTTGTAACACAAGTAACAACCGTGTTGAAGGATTTCTGGGTAATGCAGAAGCTCCCGTAGTCCTGCAGTGATTTACTTGTGTTATTTAAAAAAAAAATGATTACCTTGCCTATTTTAACTCTCTACCCCAGCCCTTACCATGCCTTGTGCCCACCAGATGTTTTGGACTACAACTCCAGGCCATGCTGGCTGGGCTGATGGGCCCTAAACATCTGGAGAGCACAAAGTTGGGAAAGGATGCTCTAATCAGGTAATCACCCAGACGCTACAATATCTCAATCAAGTTCGTATATGAAGAGCGTTGCTGATAGATGTGGTTTCTTTGTTTTTGGAAACAAAACCTGATTTATTTTAAAGTCGATCTTTGGCAGCCAAATAGGCACTAAATTAACCATTTTTTAAAATGCCAAACTGGGGTGGTTGAGCTTGAATATCTTTAGAGAGTAATCCTGAACACACCAAATCTGAGAGTAAATCCCATTTTTGTCATTTGTTTTTACAGCTAGTAAATTTAGATTCCCAGACAAAGCAAGGATTTTTCACATTCCCATGACACGCCAGCCGTGTTTTAGGCTGTTAAATCATTTTGTAACTAACAGCCTACAGTTCTGGTTTAATTGGTGCCTCATTTTTAAATTGTTTCCTTCGTGCATTTTTACATTTCCCCCCAGCTTGTGGTCTGATTCTGTTACTACAGCCTTTAAAGAAACAAAAAACCCCAAGTTGAGATTATCCCCAACTTAATTCTGCATTTATCTATCTAATTTTGGTCCCATTTTGTACATCAAGTGCTTGTCCTGTGTTTCTCCCTTTTTTGGTTCATCTGTGGTCTTTTTTTTATTTATTTCCTATTTTGTTCAAATCATGGATTTATTTTTTAGCATTCCTCCATTTTTTGGCCAAACTTATTTTCATTAATCCAGATTCTGTTTTGTCCATTTTAATAGTGTACTTGTATTTCTTCCTATTTTGTGTGTGTGCGTTTGAGCTGTGGTTCCCCCTTATCCTCCTTGCATTTTTTTTCATCTGTTAAATATTTTTTATTTATTTCTCCCATTTTGTGCGGGGAAGGTATTCATCTGTGGTTTATTTATTTCTCCCTTCCCTGTTGTGGATGCATGTGAAACTTTGAAGGAAAAATAAAAAGAATTCTGCACCACACTTCACCACCTCTGTATTGTGAGTTTTGAGTTTGGTTTTATTTATTTCTCAATTTTTTTAAAAAATAAAACGAGGCACTTTAAGCTTAGGAGCTGGGCTACGAGTCTGTTTTCACACCTCTGTTGCCCCCAAACACCTTGTATTTAAGCTTTCCTCTCCCTGAAATTTTGCACTGTATGTTTGTAAAAGTTTGGAGTATTATTCAAAACCTGAATCGGAGGGGATCTATGCATTTCCTCTCTGCACCCCAATATTACCTTTGTTTCTCATTAACGCTGAGAAGCTCTAACTGTCCATAACTTTCTACACTCAGGGGTGGTGGGAATGTTCCTGAAATTATTTAGAATACCCAAGGAGAAAGGGGGGGGGAGGAATGAATCTGGTCAATTTTATTAGCCTGCCTGTTTTACATCATTTCCAGTTGCTGCTATACGTTCAAAAGTGGAAGTGCAACCTTTGAGGGTCGTGCCCCACGCTCCTGCAACCCCCACCGCCCGAAAGGAACAAAAGCCCAATCAGCTTGGTAGCTAATGCACTTGTTTCTAAGGGACATTGGAAAGCAATACATTTGAGTCATGAAAATGTGCACCTGGGTGAGGCAGCTGCCTCAGGCAATCGGTTTTTGGGTGCCATTTGGGAGGTTGCTTTGGGAGGCTGCTTTATGCATGTAGTACAACCCTCTGCAAACATCTCTGTGAGGATCACTCTAGAATTCCTCCTGGTGGTTTGTGCCCTGTGTGAATACATGGGGGGCGGCTTGACTTGTGCCAGCCTTTATTCTCTGCAATCCGGAGTACCGCAGAATAATTGCACACACAGCTTCCAAGCAAAAATAACACACGTGGGCTCCAAAATAAACACAGACCCACATTGAGGTGGGTTCCCGCTGCATCATATGACAAAGGTCCCCTCTCCCAGAGGCCAGCCACGGCAGTGACAAAAGTGTGCGTGTTCCACCTGCCTTACATTAGTCTCAGTTCAAAAAGCATCCTTCTGCTTAATCTTTAAGCATCTTCCTCCCTGACCTCCCGGCTGTGAGGCTCAGTTTTCCTTCTGAGGCACAAGAGTTTCCTCCCCATGACACCACTGTCTTCCCATTCCTGGCGCCCATGTAAAGCGCCCGCCCTCATTCATCCCATTCATAACACAAGGGACTTTGGTATTGGCTCTGTGTGTTTGATGGTAACATTTTTGTAGACCACCTCCTAACAAGGAGGTGGCACAGAAATAGAAACTCAACTTTGCCTTCTCCTAACCTCTGACTCCTAACTGGGAAGTTTTAAATGTTTGTGGTGCACCCCATACACTCCCCAGCCCCAGTGCGTTCCTTAAAGAACCTGAACACTACTTAGATAAGGAGAGGGCAGAGAAGAGGTATCTTTTTCAAAGGGGTGGTGGGGTTTGAGCCCTCCCCACTCACTAACCCAAATGGGATCAACTGGAAGGCGGAGTCCCAATGAGAGTCTTGGATAAAGGACAGCTCTGAAAAGTGTTGCCCGGTGTACAGTGACCATTCAGTAAAACAAATGCTGGAGACAAAAATGGGTTTTGAACAATTTAAAAATATATATACCCTGCCTTTCAGTTAAACACTAATTTGGTTGCCGGCCTTACCTTGTGTGGAGTGTGTTTGTGTCTTTTTAGCACAGGACTGGGCTACTTGGGGGCTCAGAAGGCTCAGCCTGTTCCCTAGTGCAGCCACAGGGGAAAATACACACATGCACACACTCTCTGAGTTACACCCCTTCCTTACTTTGTGTGAACAGCAGCAGAGGCTCAGCTTAAAAAGTTCTCCCCCTGACCATCTTGGTTGTGGGTGTGAGCCCAAGACGCAAGCAGCTAGGACCTTGAAGAGCGGAAGGGGAGAATTCAAGCTTAGCCAATATTTGATCCTACTTGGGGGTGGAGTGGGGGGTTGAAAAGTCCTTTTGCCACTGTCGGAGCTCATACTAAAACGGGAGTGAACAGAGCCAAGGCTGCTGGCCCTTCAGCCAACTCCCAGCATGGTCCTACTTGGACATTAGTTGCACCAGGACTGCTGCTTTGTCATAATCACCGATAATTCCCCGTATATCCTGCCTTTCTGCTATAATGAATATATGAAGCTGCCCAATTCCGTCAGGCTGCCGGTCTGCCCAGCTGAGTGCTGCATATTCTTGGCTGGTATACTCTGGACTCTGCAGGCTTGGGCCTAGTACATCCTCACCATATAGATCCTTTAACTGGAGATGCCAGAGATTTTGAATCTGGGACATTCTGCACGGGAGCCTCTAGGAAACACGTCACATTTAAGTGGCTTTGCCTTTGGCGGGAATTGTCGCTTGGTTAAATGAAGGACAGGGTCTCCCCACCAAAACCCTACTGGTGGGAGTTGTTTGTCTAACACGTGCTCCTGTCTCTCTCTCTCTCTCCATCTCTCTCCATCGTTCTTCTCTTTCCCCACCCGTTTTTCTTTCGCACTCTCATCCTTTGTTCACCATTCTTCCCCTCCCTCCTTTGGTTGCTTGGGCTTGCCTTTTCTTTTCGGTTCTTCTCCCCCGTTCTCCTCCTCTCTCTTCCTCCTACCCCAGTCCAAGGAGCTGCAAATTAAAAAGCAGTTCCAGGACACCTGCAAGATCCAGACACGACAATACAAGGCCCTCCGCAACCACCTCTTGGAGACTACCCCGAAGAGCGAGCACAAAGGCATCCTCAAGCGCCTGAAGGACGAGCAGACCCGCAAGCTGGCCATCCTAGCTGAGCAGTACGACCACAGCATCAATGAAATGCTCTCCACCCAGGCCGTAGGTACCCCCACTATGACCCCCTGCCCCCGGGGAGGAGGAGGGAACTGACCCCTTTCTCCGTCAGCGAGGGGAGAGTTGTGTTCTCGTTATGCTCTTAAAAATCAAGCAGCAAAACTTGAGTTTTGTGCCCTTCCAGTGAGAGTATCCCCCATGCTTGTTCCCTTCATTCCAATCTGTGAGAGTATTTTGCAAATAGAGCCCTTCTGGGTGAATTAACTTGTTTCATCTACAGTGGTACCTTGGTTCTCGAACTTAATCCGGGAGTCCGTTCGACTCCCGAAACCATTCGAAAACCAAGCCGCGGCTTCCAGTTGGCTGCAGGAACTTCCTGCACTCAAGTGGAAGCCACGTCGTATGTTCGGCTTCCGAAAAATGTTCACAAACTAGAACCCTTGCTTCCGGGTTTGCGGTGTTCAGGAGCCGATTTGTTCAGCAACTAAGCCGTTTGGGAACCAAGGTTTGACTGTACTTTTGTGGAGGGCACAGCATTTGGGCTTCCTTGGTGCAGTTTATGCAGCTCTAGCTAATAGTGAGGGACCTGACCTACCCTAAAAGATGGTGTTGGTTTTAGGCCACTTAACTGTCCTGCTTCCTTCAACGCCACCAAAAAAGAATCCTGGGAAGACGAGTTTGGTGAGGGATGCCAGCAGTACTCTGAGAGCTCAAGCTCACCTTGCCTAACTACAATTCCCAGGGTTCCATGAGAAGAGGGATGGATCACTAAAACACTGAGTTTGTAGTATGGATGTGTTCCAGGTCATACAATGCTCCTGGTGGTGCTTCACCATCTCGTATCACTTCCTGACTCAAAAGCATCCTTTTGAGGTTGGTCGATCTTAGTTTTTTATTTACTGAGGCTGATGGAGACCCACTTAACCAAAGCTACCTAGTGAGAGTGGTGACGGCCGAGGTAGAGCTTGACCTCTTGAGTCCAAAGGGCCAAGGATCAATATGCCACCTGTTACGCAACAATAAGGTGTGCCCCCTTTTCCCAGGCGTGTCTCATGTGACTCTCACACCTAGGCAGAAGTTCCACAGGTGTTGCTTCTCTTTGGAAGTGAGAAGGCTCTTCTTCACCTATTGATTCACCCCCACCCCCCCTTGTTATGTAGCTCTTACCAACCTGCCACGCAGAAGCTCCATTTTGATCTATGAACTACCCTGTGGTCCTTGGATGAAAAGCAGTATATTGATTAACTAATTACTAAATAACAACAACAATAACAGCAATCGACCTGGTGCCCATGGGTTCTCCCCCGTGACAGCATTACAAAGCAGGGTGGGGGACCGGTGTTTTATTTTTTACTGTTCGGGGACAAAGCCAAACGTGTCTCAGCCCTGCTTCAGAAGCTGCTGCTGCTGCTGCTGCAACTGTGGGAGAGGCCTTGTGGCCGTGTTGGGTGAAGAGCGCCAGCCTTTCTCTCCAGAAACAGCCACCCTCTCCCCCAGTCAGCCCTGAGCCTGCTGTGTGCCCCTTCCTTATCTCCTCCTTTTCTCCCCCCTCCCAGCTTCGGTTGGACGAGACGCAGGAGGCAGAATACCAGGTCCTGCGGATGCAGCTGCAGCAAGAGCTGGAGCTGCTCAACGCCTATCAGAGCAAAATCAAGATCCACACAGAGGCGCAGCATGAACGGGAGATCAAGGAGCTGGAGCAGAGGGTATCCATCCGCCGGGCACTGCTGGAGCAAAGGGTATGTGCAAACAGCCTTCCTCCTCCTCCTCCTCTTGGAAAACCCACAGTCCTGGTTCCTTAACCCACGGCACCAACCTCTCAGACCTACACGCCTCTCCCCTCACCCAAATGGCTAGAAGTGTTAGTTTCCCCCTGGTTCCAAGCTCCCAAAATACTAACCCATGATCCCAAAAGGCATCCATCCTTCTGAGGCCGCCTGGCACCAAATCTTTTAATTGGGATTGAAAGCCTTCACGGCTGCCTTCTCTATTTCTCTCTCTCCCCACCCGCAAAAGAGAACCAGAGTTCTTGCGTGAACTGCGCTGGGCTTTGTTAATGGAATTCCCGGAGCTCCTCGTGAAAGTGCACTCTGGAAAAGGGAGAGCCGTGATGGTTTAAACAGCTTTCATATTGATTGCGATGCAAGTCAGCCCTCCTTAAAAGCACGGGGAAGGGCGGACTTGATGGGCTTGCTGTAAGGTGAATAATGGAGAGGGATCGAGAGCTACAGTTGAAAGCCCATTACACGTTCATTAGGAAGAGATGAGGTATCGGGGTCCTCCTGCGTAGGTTAGTCCGAAGGGTCTGGTGGTGGCCGGCGGTAGAGCTAGGCGATACCTGGTTTTCAAC